CGCACGTCACCATCCGGCCTGTCAAGGTAACTCACCGCAACTGCCCACAGTATTTTCTCAAGCGGCAGAAACATAACCTCATTCTTGTCACAGGTTAAAAAAAAATGGAATGTGGAATTTACATATCATTCTCAAAATATGTTTTATCTCCAGTGTCAGTGACACTGCGGTGGACCGACTTTTACTTCCTTTTCCCACGGATAATTTCTCTAGGAAAAATATAGCACCCAATCTAGGCGATTTTATTTATCAAGCAAATGGTGATTTTCATAATGTTTGTTACTCTCGCACCACAGACCATGATACTCTGCTCTTCCTGTTTCTTTCACTGGGGTTCCTTGTAGGCAATCAAGGATTTCTCTAAGGGAGTCCCCAATAAGGAGAGGAAGTGTGGAAAAGGGAACTCCCGTAATTATCACCGTGATGGGCTGACACAGAGGGGTCCAAGGACAAAGTCTCCTTCCCTTCCATGAACGGGGGCGGACCACACACACGGTGCAAACCCAGCTGCTACTAACAGCACCACGTGGGTAACTTGTACCTCAGGATGCCTAATATTAAATAACAGGTTTCACCTTGACTGATGGCACTTCAGAAGTTCTTTCTGATGAATTCTTCAAACGCTCGTCGTCCGGGAACATGCCAGAACGATTCTTTCACTGAGAATCCAGAGACGTCTCAGGTAAGGAACGTGCCCTGCCTCTGTCTCTGACAACAGCCGAGAGCAGAATGAACCACGCAAGGGCACAGCCTTCCAGACATCTGCATCTGCAGCCGGAGACCATTTGGTCAGGACCTGCGCTACTGCCCTTTAATCAAAGACAGTGTGCGGCAGTGCATGTGCGGTTTCAGATTTCACTTTTGGTTTCGACTCTTGTCTGACTGGCTGGCTGCAGAGGTCGGGCAGGCATGAAACATGGTAGATGATCAGAAAACATGAATTGTAAACATTCTAATCAAGTCATGCTTGCATCCTATGGAAATGATGCACTGATCGCTGAATTGGAAAACGGATACCATGATTATAAATGATACCTGATTATTTAGAGCAGCGGTTCTCAACCTGTGGGTGGTGACCGCTTTGGGGGTCGACCGACCCTTTCACAGGGGTTGCCTGATTCATAACAGTAGCAAAATGACAGGTATGAAGTAGCAACAAAAATAATGTTATGGTTGGGGGGCGGTGGTCACCACAACATGAGGAACTGTATTAAAGGGTCTCGGCATTAGGAAGGTTGAGAACCACTGATTAGAAGGATTTACCACCACCACCACCACCACCACCACCACCACCACTCTGTTTTGAACCTTCCAAATGACTCACCAATTCAAAGGACCAACATTCACTTTTGGGGGGCTTATAGGAACCACAAGTACCACTCTATGCCTAAGAAATGTTATGGGAGGAAGAACCGGGGTCCTATAATGTTCTATCCCCCCAGGAGAGTCTTCACCGCAGTGCTGGCTTGTCACTAAAGAGAGGCACCTTGAACAGAACGGAGCTGCACTTGGCAGCAGTGGCTCAGGATGCTTTGCAGTAATCTGCTTACTGAATACTTTCAGCGGCTGACACAAGTGTGTAGATAATTTTCACTAGCATCTTAGAGGAGCTTTCTCAACACCTCTCCCACCCATGCTCCCCCAAAAAAGAGGGAAAAAGAAACTAAATGCAATGGAGTCAATTCTGACTCACAGTGACCCTACAGGACAGGGAAGCCAACACGGTAGCCCTTTGGGGGAATAGAAAGCCTCCTTTCTTTGGTGGTTTTGAACTGATGGCCTGTGGTCAGCAGCCCAACTGGCAGCCACTACATCAGCAGGGCTCCTTCGCAGAGCGCTATGGTAGCTGAACGTTGGGAATATTTTCAGATGGCAGGGCAACCGCTATGCTTATATTTGCTGAACTTGAAGAAAGCTCCATCTAAGAGGTAGCCATTTTTATTAGCATAAATAATGGAATAAACCCTGACTGAATTGAAAACAAACCAACGACATTACTGAAAGCAAGATTCAAGCTAGCCTAGTCAGTTAATTTCTTTTAACAGCAATGAATTCGGTGATTGTCAATGTACCCGATTCAACGAATAAGCCATCGAAGAGATCTACTATCACTTGTGGTCACGTAACATTGCTAGGGCCCAAGGTTATCTCTGCAGCCAACCAGGAGAGTCGAAGAAACATCCCTCAGGGTCTACTCAATTCAGTCTGGGGTTTCTTGAGCGCGCAAGCATTTCATTTGGAAACCCACGTGGAATGGCTCGGGTGAAGTCCAAGCTCATCGAAACGAGTAGTCATCTGGATGTCTGGCCACCGGCCTTTCTGGTCCCCCTCTAGGAGGCGCATTTCCCCAAGGGAAATGGCTTCAAGTTTAGGAACACACGCTTGTGACTACCTGTGTTTTCCTCAGTTCGCTGGAAGCTGGCCGACTCATTCAGCAGCATGGGTTTAAGCAGAAGGACATTGGGGTCTGCGCTCCATGGCAGCACCTTTAAACTGTGTCTCCAAATGGGGTCGGAGTTGGGGCGTCTGCGCGGGAGCCCCTCCCCCATGGGCAAACTGGTGTCATTCGCATCACTGGCAAGGTATCTCCCTGAGGCAAGCAATAGCCAAGCCCTTGAGGGACAATTGCGACCCAAGGTGGGAACTGATTGCTGCTCATCATGAAGATGAGAATTCAAAGACGGTTGGGTCACATGTTAGCAAAGAAGATTGATCTGAAAGTTAGTATTCTTTTCATCGAGCAATTGAATGGAACTTCAGAGTCAAAGACTGGCAGAAATCATGCTCCACAACTGTGAGCGGCTCACCAGGCAAAGGAGCCGGAACGTGAACTCAGAGTAGTGAGGAACACTAGCGCCGTGGCCAAGGAGCAGCTGGCTGATCCTGGAAGACTTCTAATGAAGAAAGCGGTTTGCTCTGGACCAGTTGATGCACCCCTCTTTCCTTACTTGTAACCGCAGAAGCGTTATTTTTACAAATAATGATTGAAAATGAAGTAAAAATAAGATGGGCTCTCTGCCCATCCTCTGCAGAAAGAGATCAAACCCCATCTTTGTCATTCTGATGGCCTTGCAAGAACCTTAAGTAAGAAGACATCGATTCAAACCTCTACTCCAGATTCACATACCTCCTAAAGGATCAGAAAATTCGGGGTGGGGGTAGAAAAGAAACAGTCCCTCCTTCATCAGGGGTGGGGTCGTTTCAACTCTGGAAATCTGACAAAAGCTGCTGACTTTTCACAAGAAAACCGAAAAAAAAAAAAATGACGTGCAGGTAAAGGCACAGGCACTTTTAGACAAAAGTCTCCCACGTCACTCAAATCCTGGACCCCTCATTGGCTCCAATGGACACCTCCTTTATTCAGAGCTCCAGGTAAAGGCCAAGAGCACTTAATAGCCTTTCGTGAATTTTGGCTAGTATTAAAAGGAAAACACATTGGTGTCTTTCTGTCCTTCCTTCCTTGGCTCCCCTTGGCCTCTCTCTCTCTCTTTTCCTCCCTTTCTCTTTTCTCCTCCATCTCTCTCCAGAGAAGAGGGGCCACCTCAAAAAAGAGCTGAGCATCCAATCAGTTGGAGAAACTGAAAACGATTGGGAAATCGCTTTCCATCGTCTAGCTCACATGCATCTTTACAATGGCAACAGCTCATTGACCAGCCACTCGGTTTCTTATCTGGAATCCCCGAGAGCAACCCTACACAGAGGGTATTGCTTTCCCCATGTCTCTCGGGGGACCGAGTGGCTATGAAGTCATGAATCCACGCTAAAAGGAGCAGTAAGGGCTACCTCTGCTAACTTGCAGTTGGATGGCCTTCCTCAAAATTTGGACAGCATAAGAAAGAATCAGTTCTAGGGGAGGAGGGAGGGAGGGGGAAAACTTGAGTAGGCTGTTTTGAAATGGTTGATCATCTAGAGCTAGGAGTGCAAATCAACAGGGCAGGCAGCGAGGCATGTGTGATTGATGGGTAGTTATGTCAATATGCAACTTGGGGATAGTTGGATACATTTTCAGGTGGATCATCGAATTAAGTTGATTTTAGAGGGGGGCTTCATGAAATGTAATTCAAAAAAATAGGTCTTTAATGTTTCTAAATTTGGGTTATTTGTACTATAATACTCGTACCAGTCTACAGTTTGTATGGTTTTCTGTTTTACATAAGTCCATGCAACTTAAAAGTGAACCATCTGAACCATCTTGATGTTAAGGGTTGGACACGTTTTTTTGCAAAAAGAGAATGTAGAACCGTGGCCCTGATTTGTACACGTGGCTGGGGGTAAAGAGGCTTGTTCTTGTTGCCTACGCTTCACTTGTGAATCAGATTGCTCTGGTCCTTTGCATCTTACTCTGTCTGAAACTGGACATACTGATACATATCCAGAAACGACAGGAAGCTATTGGTCTTGTGCCGGGCCTGAATCATTTGCTCAAAGAAGTCAATAAACATGGTTAACCGGAAATAAAATCAGTGTATTCCCCCTGTTCCTACATAACGTTAATACACAGAAGCAAGCGACTTGGGCACACATGCGTGGAAGCTGGCGATCATTTGTTTTTGAGATGGCGCGCCCTGGGATTCTCAGAAACCAAACCTGGCGATAGGAACGCGAAGGAGAAATATCGCTTCCCAGGCCTTATCCCATCCTTTGTTCTGACGTGATGCGGAGGTCGTCCAGACAGACCGCGTGCCCCTCCCTCCCACCCCCCAAGTCAAGTTGAAGTCGGTCGAAAGACCACTACTCTTCTGTCCTCAGAATTAAGCTTGTACGTGAGTTTGCGTGGGTGTCACAGCTGACCTAGAAAGAACGGGTCATGCAATGGAAACGCCTCCACATCCACGTAGGAGCGCTCTCTGCTCCTCTTACTGGAAGCGGGGAAACCTCCAGGCTCTATCTTCCAGGGTAGGACCTGTGGGAGGAAAGGCCAAGGCAAGCAAGCCACCCAGCCGCGAGCAGCACAGCACACGCGAGACGGGCTGCCGGCCGGCAGACGGCCCTGACTGTACCTGTGCAGATGAAACTGGAGAGTCCTCCGTAGATGACTTCGTCATTGTCGGGCAATATAAATGGACACCTTGTCTGAACCTCCAAACAGTATTGCTTGCAAGGGATGGTCTTTCTGCAGTTCAACTGCGTGACTTCAAAGTACTGGGAACAGAGCCAGGCTTTGTAGACAACCTGAAAGAAGAGAAGAGTCAAACATACGGAGGGATGGCACCGGTTCTCTGTCTGCTGGAAGGGCGCAGGGGCTGGGAGGAGCTTGCTGGGTTTCCCGTGCGCTAGGAGAACACTCGCATTTTGGAAAAGCCTTTCACACTAAGCCGCAAGCGCCAACACGGTAGCAGCGAATGTCTTTGTCAATAGGAGCAAAGGCCTGATTCGTTTGAGCCCTTCCTGAATCCAAGATATATGTTGGCTTTTGGTTTGAGGCTTATTTGGAAAATAATATTAGTAATAGTGGATTGGGGCAGGACCTGCAGTCCTGCTTCCTTACCCAACCCCAACCCCCTCCAAATCTAGTGATGCGATTTGACTGTACTGCAGTGGTTCTCAACCTTGCTAAGGCTGCCACCCTTTCATACAATTCCTCATGTGGTGACCCCCCAACCATAACATTATTTTCGTTACTACTTCATAACTGCCATTTTGCTACTGTTATAAATCTGGAGATCCCTGGGAAAGGGTCTTTCCAACCCCCAAAGGGGTCGCGAGGTTCAGAACCGCTGCTCTAGTGATTTAGTGCAGTGTGCCCTGCAAGGTCAGCTGGCTTATCCGTCCTGTTTCCTTTGCCTTGGTCAGACCTGCTATACTTGCAGCGGACACTAGAGGGTGCTGACTCCTTTAGAAAGACGACCCCACAGGCAGCCAGGAAACTGCCCACTAGTTAGTACTTGAACTTCAAGAGGCACATAACAAGCAGAAATAGCCATTGATTTTAATGACTCACATAAATGAATTAAAATCGCATTGTCCCAAAGCCCAGGGACACCCAACCTAGATGAGCGGCGATATTCGGAGTGGTGGTGAGAAGGAGGAGGAGGAAGAGGAGCAGGAGGAGGAGCAGGAGGAGTGAGACGCTCCTCAACACCACCACATTGACCTTCAGAGGCCGAGTGTCGCAAATCAATTATTGGTTATCTATTTACAGGTGTCCCCGGCTTAACACAGATTGCAGTAATTCTTAATAATATGAGGTCCAACCCAGCGTCCTCTTGTCCACTCCTACTGGAGGGTTTCTGAGACTAAATCTTCATGGGCTCAGACAGCCTCATTTTTCGCCCACCGAGAAGCGGCCGAGTTCGAACTGCTGGCCTTGTGGTAACCATTCCAAAGCTTACCACAGCGGCCCCACACAGGCCAGCACCACCAGGGCTCCGAATGCTCACGGTGGATGCTTATGTGTACTGCTCCCAACCACACAAGACAGAAAGGGAGCACACTTATAAAGAGCGTGACAATTACAATTCTTTTTAAAACTTTAAAAAAGTTATTAAACATATATCTGAACCTACATTCAATGGAGTAGTCAGAAAGGAACAATATGTAAGTCAGGGACTACCTTTATTTAATTTTTTTTAAAACATGAATGGACTATTGCATCAGTCAATGCACTATTTTTATGCCTATTTTGGGGGGATGGATAGCAAAATGAACTTTTATGATAAAACGCAGCACGCAGAATTCAGATAAAACAATGGCCAAAGAACTTGTCCATCCAGTATGGTGCTGTCGGCTGTCAGAGAGCAGGTTCTGACTCAGAACGACTTCCACCTACTTGATGCTGCTGCTTTCATCTGTCTGATTCTAGGACTAATACGATTCACCCAAACCTCTCCCCTCACTGCCCACCCCCCTTGATTACACTCCTTGTGGAAACGTGAATGCGCTGTAATTTCAGGTCCAGTCAACCACCATCGAGTTGGTGAGGACGCGCGCGTGGCAGCCCGTGTGCGTCCGAGTCGACCTGTGGTCCATAGTGCTTTCAGGGGATGGTTTTCAGAAAGCAGCCAGGCCTTTCTTCCAAAGAATCTTTGGATGGGCTCAAGCCTCCACCATTGCAGTTGGAGGCCAGGGGAGCAGTCAAGCGTGCACACCCTTTGCATGGTCTCGGGAACACGTGCATAAACATCTGCTGTGGGTGTCTAGAGCTCTGGTCATGCTGTCAGGTAAGCACTGGATGGCTTGCCAGAAGGTCACCTGTGCGCCTAGTGTCTATTGCTTACCACAAGGTCACTTGTGTGCCTAGTGTCAGCCAGGTGAGAGAGCAGAACAGCCCCACAGGGTGGAGTGGGCTTCACAATGACTGGATCAGATCACCAGCTCTTTCCTGCAACAGAGTCTCTGCTGGGTTTGAACTTCAGACCTCTCAGCTGCCCAGAATGAAACCACTGTGCCACTCAAAAGTACTCCCTACCGTGGGGTCGATTCCAACTCATAGGTGTCAGGTTCTAACTGTCCTGTGTGTTTCCAAGACTGTAACTCTTTCCGGAGTAGAGAGCCACATCTTTGTCCCACAGAACCCCTGGTTGGGTTGACATGGACACCTTGAGGTTAGCAGCCCGACTTAGGACCACTAATTTCACACGAGGAGGTCATAGCAATTGATACTAATGGCAAGGGTCATGCCTAGTGTTTAACAAGTGCATGCCATGTTCTAGGCAAGTTATATACGCCAGTCCCCATCTAACTGTCACCACACACTTAGACGGTAACAGCACTCCCACTCTGCCACAATTACAGTATTTGGAACACAGACCTATGAGTATTCAGAAGCCCGTGATCTTTAAAATCATCTACGTTTACTCTGTAAACTTGTAAGGAGAACGGATAGGGAAGAGATGCAATCGGAAGGGGGGTTTCTGACTCACCTAAAATCATAACTGAATCGCAGGCCTCTGACTGGTCCAAGTTCATTTGGTAAGATGACATTGGTATTTATTTATAATTAACTATTAGTCACACCAAAATGCCATTCTTTGATTAAAGGTAACTAACTGGAGTGAGACAGAGTGACTGTGAAACCCAGTTATCATTTTTCGATAGTCAATGTGGTTTTATTTTCCAAATTATTAAAAACACAATCACCATCTAGCTTCTTAAGGAAAATATGCATATACTTATGATCATGACACCGCCTTTGAGTGGACTAAACAACCTGAAACACACTTCCCTAGAAAAACCTTACCATGGCTGAAACAAAGCTGAAGGTTTCAAACGTTCAAGTACGAGGTGGAGCAAGAGTGTGTGGGCGGGTCTGTTTCAGAAGAAGGACAAGGAAATGTTCTCCCAAGGGGGAGAGGGGAGCTACAGATAGTTTTCGAAACACCATTTCTATTAGAGCACTAGGACACAGCATTTACACGATGCGATGGAGTTGTATACACTGATGGATGCAAATTTCCTGTAAGAAATTGCACATTCTTTATCTTTCTACGATTCTAAGGGACAGCGCTCCCTGTTTTCTCTAAGAAAGTGTGCTTCCACGATTCCAGACAATTTCACCTGCTTTTTTAATGGCTGGATTGTGTTCACCATTCCCATCCCCATTTCCTTTGGTGCAATTATTAAAATCAAAATGGCTTCCCAAAGTCATCCACACCTGGACCTAATAGCTCTTAAGAAACGATCTTGGATGTATGGATTGTGATAAGAGTTGTATGAGCTCCTGATAAAATAATTTTTTTTAAAGAAAGAAACGATCTCTCCTCACTGATGGACAATGAGCTGTCCCATATTGAAGTTTCTCTTTTTTTTGCTCTGGAAAATGTCTCATTGTGAATATTTTTGCCACAATTGAAAATAATAATAATTACACTAATCACAATGAGTGCAAGGAAGAAGAAACGATTCTAAAATGGATGGTGATAATGATTGTACAACTCTTCCTGATATGAGGGAAACGTGGAATTGGATGCAGTTTCTTATACACTCAGTTCCACTCAGTTTCCTCGCTCCACTCAGTTTCCTTGGCCCCAATGGATGGAAGATTCCTTTTGACTCTGGTTTTCTAAACCCGGCTTCAGCTGTCTTTGATTCTCAGATTTCCCGACTCAAACATTCCTGAGAGACCAAAGCAGTCCGAGAGATGTCCCACGCTCCGGGGAAGAGAGGGCTCGCCATTCACAGAGCCACACAGCATTCTGGGGCTTTCATGGGGCTGGACGGGCCTCCCAGGACAGATTTCTTGGCAGCCTCGAATTGTGATGCTCCGTAACCCCCAGTCTGCTGAGTCCGCAACGAACAGACCTAACTCGAGTCATAAGCATTGCCTAAACTGGTACTTCTAGGGATGACATCAGTCGGAAAGCAATGAGGGAAAACCCCTACTCAGGACGCAAACTCACTGCCAGCAAGTGGCCTCTGCCTCACGGGGCCCTACAAGGACAGAGTAGAGCTGCCCTGTGGCTTTCCAAGCTTGCCCTTCTTCACTGGAGTCGAATGTCTCAGCTTTCTGGAAATGCTGATCTTGGTGTCAGCACCCCTGTGTCACCCCCCGACCCCACCGGACTCCTAAAACGGCACAGGCAGACAAAAGTAAGCAGGGCAGGAGAGGTGTTTTATGGTTACTTAAAAATTATGACTGAAAAACATTTTTTACATAACTAAAGAACGTATTTCCCCTGGAAAGAGGCATGTTTGTGAACCCAGTGTTCAGGAGGGGTCAGACCTGTGTACGGCATGCTTGCCAAAGTATCCTGAAGTAGACAAATGAAGGTCTGCAGAGGAAGTAAGAAAAGTCTTCTCTACTGAGATAGTTGAAATGTATTGTGCCAACCTGGCAGATAAACACATGTGGGGTTAATTGAAGGGTGGTGAGCCTCGCCTTTCTAGTTTTCAGGTCTGTTGCTTCCTGATGATCAGACCAGGGTGCAGCTGCCTTAGCCAGTTCCCTGCTTCAGCTAGAAAGGCTCACTTCCTGCAAGACATCCCGAGGAGAAGCTGCATGGACCTACCCCGATGCAGCTCTGGGTGCTGGAGCAGCCGGGTGGAGACCCCTGCCAGCGCTGAGATGCTTACACGTTCACAGATTCGGCTTTCTTCCTGCAGTTGGCATCATAGTGTGTGTTTTGTGAGATGGAGGAGGACTTTGTGGATTGGTGCCAGACCTATGGGTTAATGTTGGACTTGTGGGCTTGGGCAGCACTGGGTTGGGATGTGTTCTTGATGTGCACTTACCC